TTTAGAGAATAATCTGTCCCTCATGTGCTTCAAAATTGTTGAAATGACAGCAATTTACAGGAACTGTCAAATAAAACATGTAGTGTCTTCCAAGATGATATTCCATTCTATAGGTAAAAGGCATGTAGTTTTAAAGTGAACTTTAAAAGAGTCACAGAAGCATGATCTAGGAAGTATCTTAGAACACATTTCATAACTCCTCTTTTTATGGTTGAGAAAACTATGGGGAGAGGCACTGTGCAAATTTCACAGCACACATTTATATCACACCTGCAACAAGACCTAAGTCTCCTGATTACCAGCTACTAAGCTTTTTATTTGATTCTTGTTTTTGTTTTTGTTTTTTTCTGACTAAATATAGTATCCACAGGATCCTTGATACCTTGTAGAATTCCTTTTGAGAGAAAATCTCTATTACTAATTGTATAACTGGATGTATAGCTTCAGAGTACATTTGCCTGAATTATTGAATCTGACCCTTGAATTATCCCTGGAAGACAGGCAGACCAGTACTGTGACCCCCATTTTACCAGTGCAGAAACAACATCTGAAAGGCTGTGGCTTGTCCGGTGTCCCCACATGGGGTACATGGCAGACCCGATACCAAAACATAGGTCTGATTGTTCTCTGCTCCTTCCTGCACCCTCCCTTTGTCCCACTAACCTCAGTTCTCAGTGGTGTTTATTGAGCAAGGCCAGGAGGTGAGGCAGGCATAGGGTGGGACAGAACTATCATCAATAAGATTACAAGTATATTCACTTCAGGTTGATGCAGTAGCAAATCATAGGATGAGTGTGAGGTGGAACAAAACTGTTGTCAGCCAGTAAGTATGCAGAAAGTATAGTTGCTAGGGTAATAGGGATTAAATGGGGATCAAATGGGAAAACAAGTTACAGAGCAAGTGCACATGAGCAGACAGGGACTTCCTGAAAGGAGGGTGTGTTGAAGAGGTCTACTTCAACCCAAAGTGACTGATGCCTACTTAAAATATAAATCACTGCTGTTCATCCCTAGGGGATATATATGGGTGAGCAGTTCCTTTTCTTGAAGCTTGGACTTCAATGGATGCGCCTCCAGCGACAGCTGTCTTCAGCATTGACATCTCGAGGGTCCAGCCCTGTCTGACTGCCTAAAATATTTCTACCTAACCTTAATATTCACCCCTCTGCAGAACTGCTGTGAGGGGGCAAGGATTGAAGACCTATCTGGCTATTTACAGCTGAAGAGGGTCGTAGTTGTGACTAGCAGCCAGATGCTCCACAGAGGCTCTGTCTAAAGGCCCTCAATAGGCACTGGTGTTCTTTTCTTGGGTACACATACAGCTTTAAGTCTGGGGCAGAGTAGGCCACAGAAACAACTAAGTATGTGTGGCCCAAATAATAAAATCAATAGGATAATTGTGAATATAGCCACCAAAGTTTGCTACCAGGAAGAACCAGTAATAGTTTTTCATAAAGAGGATATGGAGGAGGTCTAGGGAATTTCAGAATTTGTCATGTCATTAACCTGTCATCTAATATCTTGAACACCTACTGATGTATTAGCAGAAGGATCAGGAGTATACAAAGTACTTGTGCTGCTGTTAGAATATCATATGCCATCCGATTTTGGGAGGATGGCTTGTTTCATTAATTTTACTTCATTCAGGAGAGAGAGACCAGCTGTGGTATCATATAGTCCTGCTAAGGATAGTTAACTAAGGCCTCAGTGTGTTACATGATATCCTCCAACCCTGGGATGGAATTAAGATAGAAGCCAAATGATTGTCGCAGTGAGGAACACTTCTAGACCATCAGTGCTGTAGCTTGGGCAAGTTTGCAGGTTTGTCAATACTTTTGACACTTCTGCATTGCAACCAGTCACATCCCTATGTGCATCTTCCTGTCCATCCAGGGGGTCCCCTTTGTTTCTGAAATCAAATCTATCCATTGTGATTGGTTGCCTTTTTGCTTTTTTTTTTTTTTTTTGGTAGTGGGGATGAAACTCAAAACCTTGCACTTGCGAGGCAGGCGCTTATGCTGCTGAGCTATCTCCCCAGCAAGCTATCCACTGTGAGACACTACATTGTACTCAGCACTAAGTGCCACAAGTTAGATGAGAAAGCAGGAGTAAGCATGTAGAAGGCAAGAGATTATATAAGTAGGAGCTAAATAAATGGTGTAACCCAATGGTAATTACAAGAGAGGCCTGAGTAGAAAGCAAAGCCCACTAGGAGTAAGGTTCAACTGGAGCATTGACATGGGGAGAATATTTGCATGTGATGCACAAGGAAAAGGTATTTCACAGAGAAGAAGGGTATAGCAGCAAAAAGAGGGCAAGCTGGTATAGACAGTATGGGAGGAGACAGACTAATTGGTGGTTTGAGGCTAGGGATTTTCAGTAGGAGAAAAAAATGAGCAAGAGATTATGGTTGTCAAGATCATGGTGTGACAGAGCTGGGAAATTGCTGATGATTGGAAGGTGGGATTAGGAGATTCTTGCTGTGTTTGCCCAGTATTTTACATGAGCTAAGCAACATTTGTCTAGCAAGAATTTGGTCTTGGTGTAGTCCTTGATGCTGCTGCTATAAAGAGAAGCAGTGAGGAACAAAGTGGTTCACTGGTGAGCATCAGCTCAATGGGGGAAACACTAGTCACATGCTCTCCACAGTGGGTGTGTGCAAGGCACTGAAATGCAGTGTGCACCTTGTAAGAGTGTTTATGGTGGCAGGGAGCACAGACACGTTGCATGCAGATGTGCTGATCAGCTGCTGTGTCACAGTACTCAGCTCTGGGATGCAACACTAGACAGATAATTCTTTACTACATTTAATTTACTTTTGTGTAAAATGTGTTATGTCAGATGAGTGCTGTGCTGTGGGGAAAAAGACTGGACAGGGAATAGGAGTGGGTAGTGTGAATGTTTCAGTTTTAAGTAGGAATGTCAGAGACAGTCTCACTAAGAGCAGCAGAAAGAAGGAAAATGCATGTAGTGAGCATGTGGAAGGTGAATACAAAGGACCATGAGGCAGGAGCATACCAGGCATCCTAAAGAGTAGAGAGGTGACTGTTGGGCTTTCTGACATGTAGAATAAGCAACTGGAAGAGAATGGATAAAATGAGGGTAAGCAGGAAGACCTTGCAAACCATTAAAGCCTTCTGACTTTTACACTAAGTGGAGCAGGGAGCCATTAAACAGAGGGAGTGACATGAACCAGCCATTAAACAGAGGGAGTGACTTAATTTAACGGGATCACACTGGCCTTTGAGATAAGAATAGACATAAATGGATGGGTGGAACCAGGGACCAGTTACCACAGTTACGCAGATAAGACTTGATGGTACCTTGAGACAGAGTGGTAGCAGTGGTGTTTCTGAAGTTAGATTTTGTGTATACATGTGTGTTTGTAGCATTTCAGTGAGATACATTTGATATGCAAAAACTTGCCTATATTTAAAGTATACAGTTTAAGCTTTAATATAGGTGTATGTATAAGCCTATGAACCGTTACTCCTTTTAAGATAATTACATAATGCATCTCCCAATATATTTCTCTCATTATTTTTGTAATTTCTCCCTACTACCTCTTCCTTTTTGTCCTCTGGCAATCATTCATCTCTCTCTCTCTTTTTTTTTTTTTTCTGGTACCAGGGATTGAACCGAGGACCCTGCTACTGACCTATCTCCCCAGACCCTTTTTCATCTCTTTCTTTATCCTGAGTTTTAAATACTATGGTTTGCTTATGCATTTTGTCTGTTGATGGATCTTTGGTTTGCTTCCAGGTTGGGACCAGCCCAAGTGAAGCTAATGTCAGCGTCTATGTCCAAGACCTTGTCTGGACATTGCTTTCACTTTTCTTGGGTAAAATACTTAAGAGGTACCTGCATCACAAAGTTTTTGTATATTTAACTTTTTAAGAAACTTCTAAATTGTTTTCCAAGTATGTTTTCTGTATGATGGTGCCATTTTCCATTACTACCAGTATGTATGAGAATTCTGTTTCCTCACCAGTGCCTGATATGGTCAGTCTTTGTTGTTATAACCATTCTAATACATGTAGATTTAGGTCATCCTGATTTGAATTTGCATATTCCTAACAACAGATGATGACTAGTACGTTACATACTTATCTTCCATACATGCATCTTTGTTTGTTGTTTTTTTTTTTTTTTTTTTTTTTTGGTTTTTTTTTTGTTGTTGTTTTGTTGGGTTTTTTGTATTTTAGGGAAAGGTCTACAGGGTATTCAGGGTCTCACTACTAGATCATACTCATAGTGATCCACCTGTTTACACCCTCCCAAGAGCTAGGATTACAGGTGTGTGCCATCAGGCCCAGTCTCAATTGCTGTCTCAGCGCACCTCAGGGGCGGGGCCAGCACAGCAGGACCCAGGATTGAACCCCTGCAGATACAAAATGGTCCTTCATTTGTATCCCCTTTTTTTGTTTAGTTTTGTCAGAGATGTGTATTCCATTGTCATGTAAATATTGTAGGTGCATGAATTGAGCAAAATATTCCAATATAGTCCAGTAGTCCATAATAGTAGTCGGGTAACTTCTTCAGGTGTGAGCGTTATTCATGCTGTGCTGGATACATGAGGGGAAACTGCAGGCATTCGGGATCTCTCACTATGCATGACTCTTCTCTGTGGCTCATTTGGTAAACCCTTGCCACCTTGGTCTCCACAGAATCTCAGCTGTTAACCAAACAAGTTACCTTTCCAGGCCTTCCCTGAAATTCTAGAAGCAATAAACTGAATGCTCATCTTACTTATTTTTCATCTCAGGATTTGTTATCCTTCATTGCTCATAATTCAGTACCTTGAAAAATGTTTTATATATTGTATCTAGTTTGTTGTAGTTCTTCTTGTCGTTGAAGTAAGAGGTACATCTGGTCCCAGCACTCCATTTTGGCTTCAAGCAGAGTCAGAGTCAGTTCTGTGTATTTCCAACGTAGAATTTTGATGGACTGTGAGTAATGAAAGGGAAAGGTAATCACTATAGAGTTATTGTCTTTCATAGGGAGAGCTAAAAGTACCTATCAGCACTTAAATCTTGGAAAGCATGCAGAGCTGAGGTAAACAAGGAGGATGCAGAAGCCCAGAGGACAGGGGAGTGAAGGCACAAAGTGTAGAAGTCTGTGCTATACCTTGCAGTTGAGAAGTACACGTGGCTTAGAATAGAGATGAGAAGCCAGGGCTGTGAACCAGAGGCAGTCCTGATAGCATTGGTTGAATCCCCGTGTGTATGCCTTTATTTCTTTTTTTTTTTTTTTTTTTTTTGGTGGAACCAGGATTGAACTCAGGCCCTTGCACTTACCTGGGAAGTGCTTATTCCAGTGAGCCATCTCCCCGGCCCCAAAGGGATCCAAGTGGGTTGCCCAGGAAGCTGTCTCTTCCAGGTGTTTTAGGTGTTGTTTTTTTTTTTTTTTTTTTTTCCTTCGGAACCAGGATCCTTGCATTTGCCAGTCAAGCGCTTATCCTACTGAGCCATCTCCCCGGCCCCCCATGTGTATGCCTTTAATATTATTCCCAAAATATAAAAGTTTTTACATAAAATAAATGAAGATTTCTGACTTCTAAAAATAGTCCAAAAGGCCAGCCAAATAGCTCAGCGGATTAAATTGCCTGTAAGGGGCTCAATCCCCATGCCGCCCCGCCCCCAGGGCACACTGAGACTGCAATTGAGATTGGGCTTGGTGGTACACACTGCAGCTCTTGGGAGGCTGTAAACAGGCAGAATACTATGAGTCTTGTCTAGTAGTGAGACCCTGAACACTCTGTAGACCCTTCCCTAAAATACAAAAAATAAAATAAAATAAATAAATAAAAATAGTCCAGAGCTGGCCAAATAGCTCAGCGGACTAAAGCACCTGCTTAGGCAGGCACAGCAACCTGAGTTCAATCCCCAGGCCTGCCATGCTGGCCATGCCCCCATGGCACAAGGCATTTGAGACTGGGCGTGGTGGCACACCTCCTTAATCCCAGGGTTTAAGAGGCTGAAAAACTGGAGGATCACTATGAGTCCGACCTGTGTAGTGAGACCCTGTAGACCCTGTACTAAATACATTTTTAAAAAAATAGTCCGGAGTCCTGGAGCACAACCCCACATTTGCTCACAGCATCCATCAGCTAGAACTGAGAAGGGGCTGCCCCTTTACAGGAGGCATCTGCACTGCTTGGCACAGTCCCCTGTTAGCCCTGTACCGTCCTTGGCTTGCTTCCCTTGTTCACCTTTTCTCTGAGGTTTCCAGATATTTGAGCTTTTAGTTCAAAGCCAGGACGTTGTTTCCTTAATTTGGTTTTTCCTAGTAATTTCAGACCCTTTCATTTTTAGCCATGTAACTACACTTTAATTCCTTCGTTTAATTGCTGCTAAGGCTGCTATAACAGAGTAGCACAGACTAGGTGGCTTAACAAGCTCAGTTTATATTTACACAGTAGGGAGGTTGGGAGTCCACGGTGAAGACGCCCACAGCGCTGGCTTGTGGGGAGGCCTCTGCCCGTGTCCTCACTGGGCCTCTTCCGTGTTATTCTCTACAGTTTTTGCACCTGTGTGAGTACAGGCACGTTCTGGTGGTTTTTCCTCTTCTAAGAACAGTGGGCTACCAAGGTGAGGCCCTACTCTTGGGACTTAGCCCTGATTACTTCCCTGGGGGTCTTACTTCTTCAGTCACATAATGAGGTTTTGAGGCAGCATAGTTCTGTCCGTAGAATCTTTGTCCAATCCTACCGATTCCCTGATTTTATTTATTTATTTATTTTGCAGTAGTGGGGATTGAACTCAGAACCTTGCGCTTACCTGGCAAGAACTTATTCTACTGAGCTATCTCCCCAGCCCTAAAATTCTTTTTTTTTTTTTTTTTTAGTGTATATGTGTATTTTAGGGAAGGGTCTACAGGGTGTTCAGGGTCCCACTGCTAGATGGGACTCATAGTGATCCGCCTGTTTACAGCCTCCCAAGAGCTGGGATTATAGACACGTGCCACCACTATTCTTGGACAGTCTAGAGAGAAGATGCAGTATTCTGTTCCTCAGCTTCCCCTTTTTTATTTTTATGTTTTCTCCTAACATAAATTGCACTACCACATACCCACCCGTGCTTATGTATCTCGCTGCCACCTAAGTTTTTTGGAAAGCTGCATCACCCACTCGCCAGACCAAGATGGTACAGGCTCTTAGCTTCCTTCGCATGATCTTTATATCACTACTAATATCCTGTGGTTTTCATAGGTGCACACACATGCATTTCCATCTAAGTTGATGAAGCTTCCTGACTTTCCCAGGCACCTAATATTTCTCAGACACAGATGAAAATTATTTTTGTCCCTTCATTACCTGTTTCCTCGAAAATAAGACCTAACCAGAAAATAATCAGCCTCAAAAATTAGAGATCAAAAATGCCTTCCCAGTCAGCCTATCCTTACCTTGCCTGGCTTCCTGGGTAGCCGCAGAGCAAGAGGATGGTGATGGCAGGTGAGGCTGGGGTCAACTGCCTGGGGCAGGCGTCTTTGATCTTTAGTTTGCAAGGCTGATTATTTTCTGGTTAGGTCTTATTTTCGAGGAAAGTGGTTGTACCTGAGAAAGAAGAACTCTGCCTCTCATTCCCATACATAATGACTTGACATTTCTGCCCAAGTATTTCCTCTGATTTTCCCGTTTGGCCCACTCCCATTCCCTCTGCCACTTTCCTAGATCAAAGCCCCTCTGAAGATGTTGTGGCAGCTTTCTTACTGGATTCTTGTTTTCCTGCTCTTTCTCACCTGTAGTTCTGAAACAAAATCAGAGCCCTGAGGACTGGAGACGCAAAGAGAATATGCAAGTAAAGAAGCATGAGCCTAGGGCCTGAAAAGTCACCCCGCTCGAGGTAAGAGGAAGACCAGCAGAAGGTTGTGTCACACGGTCCACAAGGAAAAGCGGGGAGGCTCAGCAACGCAACAGAGAAGAGCTGACCCAAGCACCCATGAGAACGCCTGGGGATTTGTAACAAGAGGCCTTGTGTGGCTCTGGAGAAGGCAGTTTGATGGAGAGTCCTAGAGACAGAACTCAGATTGTCTGCAGCCTGAAAGAAAAAGACCATCAGAACTGTCTTATTCTGTGAAAATTGAATACCTTTAGAAGGAAAGACAGGCCTCAGCAGTAACCAGTGAAAAACACTGGAGTGTAGAGATCTTCAAGAGGAATAATTTAAAAACTGAAAGGACAGCCTCCTGAGGAGGTGTCTTTCAAGGTGTGGGAGCAGGGGGCGAGAACATACAGGATGCTCATTTACACGGGTACGAGCGTGACTGTCACACGAGGAGGCGTGTGCAGCTGGGGCGAAAGTAGCACGGTCATGGGACAGTCATGCTTACCTCACCAGGGGCTCGTGCCGCCCAGCAGCAAGCACAGGCTCAAGCACCCCACTGTGAGCATGCTAAAGCTAGTAGTGCAGGCTGCTTCTGCCCCTGAGACTGGCAAGTGGGAAAATGAATTTGAATGACTGTTTTTGGGTAAGGGGTGGCAAGCTCTTGTTTTCTGAGGTGGAAGTTAAAATGAAGTGCTATGGCACTTTTCACACCCACATGTGTGTCACTGTCTAGAAACCATATTCACAATTTCCAGAAGTATTTCTTGTGTTTTTGGTTTTGGTTTTTTGTGCAGTAACTAGGATTGAACCTGGGATTTTCCCTCCGACCTACAACCCCAGCCCTTCATTTTTATTTTTTATTTTGAGACAGCATCTCATTAAATTACTAGGTTGCGAGGCTGGGGAGATTGTTCAGTAGAATAAGCGCTTCCCTGGCAAGTGCAAGGGAAGTTCAATTCCCAGTTCTGCCCAAAAAAAAGAATTGCACAAGATGTTCTTTAAAAAAAATTGATATAAAGGACAGTAAACACATTGAAAATGTTTACTGTCCAGTGAATTACTTTAGTAAACTAAAGTAATAAAATGAAATGTATTTTTTCCTCATAAAATGGTGACAAGTTTCAAAATCTAAGATACTTCTAAGGAAATTGGTTCCGTTACACTGTTGGCAATAGTGTAATGATTAATCCTTTCTATGGGGAGGATAGTTTGAGAATGAGATTTTTAATAAAAAGTTTTCAAAATGTTTATGTAGTCAAGCATGGTGGCACACACCCGCAGGCCCAGCTGTTCAGGAAACAGGCAGGAAGATCTCATGAATCCAGTTTGAGGACAGCCTTGGCAACACAGGGAGACCCTGACTCAGAACAAAGGAACTTAAACGTTTATGTTCTGTGATTTAATGGCTCTACTCTGTGGAATCAATTTTAGGAAAATATTTATGTACATACAGGGATTTCATTAAAAGGCTCCTCCTTAAGCAGGCATTTTGTTGTTATTTATTTATCTATTTATTTATTTATTTGGTGCAGGGTCTCTACGCAGCTAGGACCTGTAGTGCTCCTCCTGTCTCAGCCTCCCCAGCTCTGGTATTGCAGCCATGCACCGCCACAGCCAGTTTCAGTGAGCACACCCAAGATTTGGGGGCCAGCACAGCATGCAGTACCAGAGATCGAACCCGGGTCCTTGCACTTGCCAGGCAGGTGCTTAGATCACGGATCTGTCTCCCCAGCCCCAGCAGGTGCTTTAAAAATAGAAAGAAAATTAATTTATATGAATTCAGTGGATTAAAGTAGGAAACATTTATATAGTAGTCATTATATTGAAGTATTTTATAAGTATAAAAAAAGGTTTTCAGGTTAAAAAGAATATGTTAGATATGTTAAATATTAAACAGTATGCATCAAAAGACAATCATTGAGTGGTGGGGTTTTGTGTAATATCTGTGGTTTCTGATTTTTCTACTCAGCATATGTGTACTACTTGATCGTCATTTATTTATTTATTTATTTATTTTTACCTTTTTTTTTTAGGTTGGGAGATCACTTTTTTTTTTTAATTTTTATTTATTTATTTATGTGTGTGTGTGTGTGTGTGTGTGGCCAGCTCAGCCCACCAGGGGGCGGGCCTGGCTGGCACGTGGTGCTGGGGGATTGAACCGCAGTCCCTGAGCTTTGCTAAGCTTGTTCTAAGTAGGTGCTTTAGACCACTGAGCCATCTCACCAGCCCCATTGATCGTCATTTAAATGAAAATAATTCCTGAAGTTTTCGAGCACAGTCTCTTCTGCCCTTGAGAGACTAAGGTCACAGTTACAGTCACGGTGTGTGTGGACCAGCATGTGGGCCCTGGCAGCCCAAGCACACTGCTTTGTGGTCCCGCCAGGGGGCTGTGCTCAGGCACACAGTCAGGATGAGCCACAGAAGCAAACCTTCAGGGAATAGTTGTGGGATTGAATCCCTGTGGGATACGGCCCAGTATTCTGAAGAATCTTATTTTGTACACATAGCGCACACACACAGACACCTAGTTTCATACTCATTTTCAGAATCTTGCTGCGCAGATATTCTTTCTTTTTCCATCTGAAGTGCCTATTGACAGGCACCTTGTGACAGGCACTTTGCTACTCTTTACTTAGCTGTGGGGATACTTCGTGAGCCACCACCTCAGAGGAGAGGTGGACTCTGCTTTATTCATTTTTGTTGATTTTGTTTTGTTCTCTGTGTTCAGGATTGAACCCAAGGCCTTGCCCTTGCTAAGCAAGTGCTCTACCTCGGACCTCCCTCCCCAGCGTCTCGGTTTACATGACCTCTCTCCCTTCAGCATAGCAGATCTTGTGTCTCGCAGCACTCAGGTCCCTGTGCTGCCTCTTGCTGTCATGCGCAATGCATGCTACTCCTGCTTTTCAGTAATCTCAAGTATACACTTGAGGTCCCTTTTTCTTTTACCCCGTCCCTCTCCCCCCCCCCCCGCATGCGCGGTCTTTGTCAGTCTCTATCCACCGGTTTCTTCCTCTTACTCTGAATCATTTCCCTTAAAGATGTTGTCTTTGCTGCCTACTTCAGCTTTCTCTAGTTGAATTTCTCTTTGGGTTCTCTCTCCTGAGGTCCCCCTGGCTCTGTGTTTCTTTGTCACAGTGCAATCTTCCCCTGATTAATTTAACTTGTCCTACATCTTCTGCACCTGCAGGATCCATCTCACTAACTTCCAGCTGTTGACCAGCCCTCGTCTCCCCTTCCCTTTTCTGTTTTCCTTCTTCTTTTTCTTTCGTCCTGCCACCACGGTGAACTCCTCCTCTTTATCTTGTTCTTCCTGTGAGATCCTTTGCCCTTGTCTCTGTCCTTTGCATAAGTTTAGGATCTCTGTGTGACTTGTGCTATGCATTTATCTGAACCTCTGCTACTTTCTCATTTTTATTGGACTCTAACTTGGGACAAGTTTTATGTTCTTTTCCTGTGTGTGTTTAGGGGACAGCATGTTCCCCTGCTGATGATACTGAACTTGACGTGCATTTTATATTCAATTTCAGTTCAGTTCAGTGAGCTTCAGTTCAACCTATTTGGGGGCATCTATATACAATACAAGCTTTATCTGTATAGCTCCATTTAACACATTTAAATCAGGAAATTTGGCGATTATTCTTCTCCTTGTGTATTTTTCTTGTACGAAAAAGTGATGTAGCCATTTACTTGAGTAGGGGCCTGAAAGTAAAAGCACAAGTGTTTGCTCACCCTCCCCAGAGAGATCTAATGGTGAATGTTAGATCTGCCCTTTCCTACCTCTGTGCTAGCCATCCCATTGCTCGGGATAGGTAGGTCAAGTTGACCTTCACTCTACCCAGCTTGCCACCATTTCGAGCTGTGTAATGGTTACTTTTAAGAATTCCAAGGGGCCAGGGAGATGGCTCGGTTGAATAAGCGCTTCCCTGGCAAGCACAAGGGCCTGAGTTCAATCCCCGGTTCCACAAAAAAAAAGAATTCCAGAGACTGGGCATGGTGACGTATGCCTGTAATCCCAACTCTTGGGAGGCTATAAACAGGCGGATCACTATGAGTCCGATCTAGTACCCTGAACACCCTGTAGACCCTTCCCTAAAAATA